AAGGCGAGGACACTGGAAGGCGAGGACACTGGAAGGCGAGGACACTGGAAGGCGAGGACACCTTCCTGCGTCACTGAGGGGGTCGGCGAAGACGCCTCACTTTCTCGCGTCTCCGAGGGGTTCAGCCGCGATGACTCTCGCTCCTTCTCCTTCTTAGTGTTTGAAGAGTCGTACAGCTGAATGTCGATTGACGAACGCGCACGAACTTCTGACCATTCACACAATACTTGGAGAAAGCCTGGGAGAAAAAGTTCTGCCCAGGCCTTGTGTCGAGAAGGGGCGGAGCTACTCTGAGAACAAAATGACGTGATTTTCGTCTCATAATAACGTCAACGAGAGCCGATTTCATCGCTTCAGATGGAGGATGCAGTGAGATTGAGAGGGACCCTGAAGATGATGAGGACTCGTCTCCAAGAATTCTCAATGGTGGTTAGCGCTATACCCTCAGGCACCTTAATATTGTTTAAAAACACTAGTTCTCTGTCTACTCCACTTACTCTCCCTGGTCCAGCTGAGTCATCAGTAGGGAAAACCTGCTTTTCACAGGAGCATGGTAACAGCAACAAGAGAACACGCAGGTTGTTCCAAGAAAGCATTGCTTCTCGTCCATATATAACGTCTTATTGGAGCCGTTATATCCTGGATATCAACTGGAAGACAGTCTGGATGACCGCCCCCATAAATATTTAATTGTAAATATGGTGAAGGAAGTGTCATTTTAAATTCTTCATTAAATTTACCCCACTAAACATTATATGATAAAATTTAAGAGACATAAATATTGATTGCAGTTTTTGTGGTGGCCTTCCAGAAACTGTGACGCATCTTTTTTGGCACTGCCCTTTCACACGCAGGTTTTGGAGTTTAACAGGTTTATTAACAACCATATTTTAAATAATTTTTCCTTACGTTGGGAAAATGTTCTATTTTGTTTTTCCAGATTCCCCAGGAAGGACGCTAAATGTTTTTTTATAATAAACTTGCTAATTCTTTTGGCCACATTTTTCATTCATAAATGTAAATTTACTAACAAAACGCCATGCTTTCTTCATTTTATTAAGGATGTGGATTTATATGTAAAGTTAATAACAGACTCTACCAACAAAAAGGCCCTTAGGACAATTTCTATCTGTAAATCTTTGCAAATATTTGTTTAAAAATCACACCCCTGGTTCTTTGTTCATGTAAGTGTTGTGTTCTTCTGTGTACTCCATTCATTTGTTTGTTGTGTACTTGTCATTTGCTTTATTAAAAATGTATTTAAAAAAAAAAAACGACGATAAGGACTCTACACCTCCTCCCTCCGAGGGGGTCCATGATGACTCTCCACCTCCTCATTCCGAGGGAGTCCACAATGTCTACATGACGCCTGCCTTGAGGGGGTCCACAGCCCCTTCTTTTCCTTCAACAAGGATGGTCCCAGGCCGTCTGCCCGGACTCTGCCTCCATACTTGGATGTGCCCAGGACCGTCCATTTAGACTTTTGTTTGGGACTACATATTTTGTTTTTCCACGGTTAATTCGTGGCATTTTAATTTTTTTTCCTTGTGTTTTGTTTTATTTTGCCCTCCATTTTAGTTTTCCGATCTTCACCCACCGAGTTGGGGAATTTTTGTTCTTTTGTTGTTGTTTTTGTTCAAAGTGGGGCATGCAGTACTGTCAGGCTCTGTGTCTGTGTGTTTAGTGTTTCTGTGATTCTTGTATTTTGTCTTGTTTTTCAGCTCCCCCAGTGTCTTTCCCCTCAGTTAGTTCTCAGCTCCTGCCCTGATCCTCCTGGTCTCTCCCCAGGCGTCGTCATTTCTTCATTAGTTTCTCTTTAGCTGCTGTTCTGTTTCTCATTTGTTGTCCATGCATTTTGAGTTCAATCCATCATATCTGTTCCTTCAAGTTTTCCTGAGATTTTTCATGATGAGTATTTTGCTGCCAGGTCAGCCTTTAGTTTTGCTTTTTGTAAATAAATGATATTTCTTATTTTTACCTCCAAGCCTTTTGGGAGTTTTTGTCACATTTTTTCTGTTCAAGATGACACTCAACATGCGAAGAGCAATTCAAAACACAAACTCTGAGTGACTGTTAGTTCTAAAATGTGAACAAATGGGTACAACTCCATCTTTTCTCAACACAGTGTTAAAGTGGCGGGCAATATGCATTCCCTAAAGCAATCAAGACTTTTAGTTCTTACATGTGACATTCGATCAGGCCACACACACGTGCACAGCCCAAAAATGATCAACAGACAAAGCTTTTCTTCTCTGAGAAACATTTCAAGGGCTAAAACTCCCTGCAGAACAATTCAGTTTCAAAGATGTGCCACCCCCCCGACCCCCTGAAGGATCAGGAGACGGGGGGGGGGGGGGGGGGGGGGCGGTGTCAGCAGCACCGTAACTTAATGTCAGCTGATTAAAGAGAGACAGGACTGTTGAGAATCCCGGGCGTTCCCATGTGGGTTCCCCACTGCAGGACATTTGACCTTTAGAAGGTTCTGCAGGAACGTTGGCTCATTTCCTGCAGGAGGTAAAGTGTTGAAAGCTGGAAAAACTGAGAAAAGTTATCATGAAGCTTCGTTAGGACTTTATGTGCCATGGCATTTTACACACCACCACCACCACCCCCAT